CACATAGAAAGTTTCAACAGAAACTTTCCTTGTTTATAATTTTAACACTATATTTTTACTTTTTTTTAATTTTGCCACTAAAGTTTTAACAAACTTTTTCTTTTTATAATTTTGCCCCTTTATTTTTATTTCTTCATATTTTTGCCACTAAACATTCACTTTTACTTTTTTAAAACCCATTTTCTTTATTATTTTATAATTTTACCACTTTATTTTTATTTTTTTATAATTTTCCCACTAAAATTTTAACAAACTTTTTCTCTTTATAGTTTTGGTACTTTATTTTTAAAATTAACTTGAAACTATCCCATATACCCGTAAGTCAAAATATGACCAAGTAATCTCCACCGTTGAACTAAAAACCGCCACGTGACCACATCGTGTCTAGGCGCTAACTCTCCCCTCTCCCCCAATTAAAAGGCTTTATATATAAAAAAATAATAAAATATTAAATAAATTGGTGTTGTAATAACTCTCTGAACAAAACAAAAGTAACCCTTCTCAAATTTCCCCCAAATTCTTTCATTCTTTCTCTCTTTATCCCCCTCTCCGGACGCTAATCGACCGGTAAATAGTTTTTGCTGCTGTTCCGCCGTCCGCCGGCGCGTGTTTGTTACCCGCGACGGCCTAGTGAGTACGATTGCTAACGTGCTAACGTGAGTACACACAAACGTAATCTGTCTATCTATATGAATATATGGAGTCTCTGTTAGTAACAAATGTGAGTAATCTCAAATGATGAATTTGAAAACCATCCAAGAGTCTCTCACTCACGCATCGGTTGATTGTGTTTCTCAACTGCTATCCGTGACCTAATTTAGGGTTTTTCTTTGTAGATTTAGGAACTTTCACGTGCCATGTCTTTTGTAATGGTTTTGATGCTCCGTGTCCGTAGAGTGACCAATCTATTGTTTATGCATCCAGACCAATTGGATTCCTCTTTTTTGGGTTTTCACATAGTCTGGATCGCCCTTTCCCTCCTGTTTACTTTTTTTAAACCGCGATTCACGTTAGGATATATTTTCCTGATTACTTCTTTCTGTTTGTTTGAGTGTCACCTGACAATCCATGAAGTCTTTATGCGATTAAAGTCTTCGTTTGGTCCTTTTCTTTAACTGCGGATGACATAAATTCTACATCCTTTGCTCATAATGCTGACTTTCAAATATTGATTGTGTGACTAGGTTTATGGAATGAAGAATAGGACTTTGGTTTGAGGTTACAGTCAGAATGGCCTTTTTTAGAAACTATGCTAATGGTACAGTTTCAGACGATGTTTTAAATGACAAGAGCCAGGGTAGAACTATAGAAAGAGCTGAGAGCATTGTAGGGTTTGCAACAAAGATGGAAGATGAGGATGATAATAGCTTATTGAATTTAACAGCTTCTAATGCTACTACAACAAGGAAAACAACTGGGAGATGGGGCTCAACATTTTGGAAGGACTGTCAACCCATGCATCAGACAGAGGAATCAAAAAGCAGTTCTGCTTACAACAATGAAAACGGATCTGGCAATGATTTGTCAGAAGTGGATAAGGCAAATAAGGGTCAAAATGTGGATGAGATGTTGTCTGATGATTACTACGAGTTAGATGGAGATGACCAAAGTGATTCAAAGCTGTTAAATAATGCAGTTGCAGGTGGTTATAATTCAATGCCACAACGGGGAGTTTCTGCCAATAACTTCAAGTCAAAAGATTCATCTCGGGGTGCATACGTAGAAGAAGATGCTGATTTTGAAGATGATGATGATGAGGAAGAAGATGGTAACTTGATGATATATTCATGTTTATGAAATTACTCCAATATGTGTACTTCTCTTAAAGATATGGACTTACATTTCCTTAATTTACTACAGAAGATGACCCTGCTGATGCAGATTTTGATCCTAACTTAGTCACCACAAGTGTTGGAAGAGGGAAGAAGGTTATTATTTTATTTGTACTTTATTTTGGCCTATCTATTGGGTTTCAGTAAACACTCACATATTCAATCCTTCAGGTGCATGATGATGATGACTGGGATGCTGAGCATTTGGATGAAGAAGATAACTCTGAGGACAATGAAATAGACATTTCAGAAGATGATTTTTATAAAAAACCAAGTGGTATACAAAGGCAGAAGCGAAAGTCTAGTAGAGAACCCAAACCTTCTACTTCTACATCTTTTGGCAGGAGGAAAAGAGGGAGAGCTTCATTTGATGAAGATGGCTCATCTCCAGATGATGATTTAGAAGAGGACTTCAAAAGTACAAGAAGGAAAAGTACAAAAGCTTCCGGAAGGATGAATGAAGTTAGAACTTCTACTAGATCAGTGCGGAAAGTATCATATGTTGAAAGTGAAAGTGAGGAGCATGATGATGATATCAAGAGAAAAGGCCACAAGGTGTGGATTATACATTATACTAGTCATATCACATATGGTGTTGTTTATTATAACTTATAAGCAATAGTTTACATAAAGCTTAATTTGTATACCCTTTTTTGAGGTAAGGAGGACATGGAGGAGGAAGATGGTGATTCGATTGAGAAGGTGCTATGGCATCAACCAAAGGGCATGGCAGAAGAAGCTGCACAAACCAACAAATCTACAGAGCCTTTACTGTTGAATCATTTATTTGACTCAGAGCCAGATTGGAACAATACTGAGTTTTTTATCAAGTGGAAAGGCCACTCACATTTGCATTGTCAATGGAAATCGTTTTCTGAACTACAAAATGTAAGTATTTGATATTTCTATTGTTGTTTAACATTGTGAATGTTATGATGTTATCATTATCATTCCCTTTTTAATCATTTTTGTTTCTGTTTGTGGTCAGCTCAGCTGAGTGGCTTTAAAAAGGTTATAAACTACACTAAGAAAGTTATGGAGGATATAAGGCACAGGAGAACAGTATCTCGTGAGGAGGTAATGGTGGCTTATGTATATTTCATGTTCTTAGTATTTTTCCTTCTCTTTCTCCCCCTTCTACAATAAAACCAAATGGGATTGTTTTATTTAGCTCTATCTTGAAGGCATGCACTTTGTTCTAGGGGTGAAATTTTTGATATGAATGAAGGAGAACAAGGCTTTAGTAGCTATATTGAGGATCTATAAATAAGTGGTTTTGATCTTATTCGGACATTATACTTTGAAAAATCCACCCATTTATAGCTGTGAAATTTGCTTTTTTCTTCAATGACCTTGCTATAATTCAATAGAATTTTCAAAATACAACGCCATAATTAGAAGAAATTAAAGCATGATGCTATAACAAACAAATCAATCAAAGTACACTACTATTTTTTACATTTGACTCGTTTTATGTTCTTTATGAACTTCATTAAACCAAAATTATCTATGCTTTCTTTCACACCCCGACATATTTTTTTGCAATGTGATATTTTACTTCTGTTCGTGTAGAGCATCACTTGATTATTTATTTTTTGCTATCAAGAACTTATAGTCTTATCATTCTATTTTTTTTTTTTCAAATGGACATGAATTTTCTTATTTATTTATTTATGGTTAGATCGAGGTCATTGATGTTAGCAAGGAGATGGATCTGGATCTTATCAAGCAGAATTGTCAGGTTTTATAGCTTATGCAATTTGGGTCATTCCTTATTCTCCTTTTACATTGCTCTATGTAATATGTTTTTTTATTTTATTTTATTTTAAATTGCACCAATTAGGTTGAGAGAATAATTGCTGATAGAATTGGAAAAAGTTCAGAAGTGCCAGAGTATTTGGTTAAGTGGCAAGGACTCTCCTATGCTGAAGCAACATGGTATGTGGACACAGTTAACTTCTATCATTCTATGAATCTTGATTTTTTATGATATGTTTATAGGTTTTATAGACACTGAAAAAGTAGGTTCAATTGTGCTATTTTTTTTCTCTACCCAATGAAAATGAGACACATCACATGCTTGTATTTATTTATGATATTTCCAGGGAGAAGATTGATGATATTGCTTTTGCACAAGCAGCAATTGATGAATACAAGGTAATGTTGTAATCTTAATGTGTTTCACTTTCAGTTCAAGAAGGATTATTTGGGTACCCTTTTTATTCCTTTATTGGTTTTTGATTTTTTTAATTTGGATGTAGGCTCGAGAAGCTGCAATTGCAGCTGCACATGGAAAAATGGTAGATTTCCAAAGAAGAAAGAGTAAAGGTATGCATTCTACTTTTTTTTCCTCTTCAAGATGCAGTTTTTAGTATTGATCATTTCATAACAACAATCTAAGATTCGGTTTCCTTCTTCAAAGACACTATTATCTCTAAATCAAGAACACAATCTAACATTTTTAAATCATTACTTTTATTCTTATAGCAAGTTTGAGAAAACTTGATGAACAACCCGATTGGTTAAAAGGTGGGAAACTAAGAGATTATCAACTTGAGGGCTTGAATTTTCTTGTTAATAGGTATTGTCATACAGATACCTTCATTTTATTTGTTTTATTTATTTAAAGCTATACTTATTAACAATATTCACAGTGCAGTTGGAGAAACGATACAAATGTCATATTAGCTGATGAAATGGGTCTTGGAAAAACAGTTCAGTCTGTTTCTATGCTTGGTTTCTTACAGGTATTCATATATCTTAATTTCTCACATGTTTCTATCAATTTGCTCTACAAAGTGATTAAAAATAGTTTTTTTTTTGGGTCTCCACAGAACTCACAACAAATTCATGGACCCTTTCTTGTTGTTGTTCCTCTATCAACTTTGTCAAATTGGGCTAAAGAATTCAGAAAGTGGCTTCCTGATATGAACATGATTGTATATGTTGGGACTCGTGCTAGCCGAGAGGTATGTTAATTGGAATTCATGATTCCATTCCATTGTTGCCAAATGGATGGAATTCATTTCCACTGGAATCTTCTATTGTTAGTTTGATTATCTTGCTTATGATAGTTTAGTATTAGGGGTAAATAGGTTGCTATTTCTTGTAGCTCAGATTATTTGTAAATTTTTCATGTGTTTCTCATGTGGTTGGTTATAGGTTTGTCAGCAGTATGAGTTTTTCTCTGATAAGAACACGAACACAAACAGTGGTGTCACTACTAAGTTTGATGCACTATTGACTACATATGAAGTTATATTAAAGGACAAGATGGTTTTATCAACAATTAAGTGGAACTATCTTATGGTCGATGAAGCACATAGATTGAAAAACAGTGAAGCTTCATTATATACATCACTCAAGGAATTCAGCACGAAAAACAAGCTTCTTATTACTGGGACTCCCTTGCAAAACAGCGTTGAAGAACTATGGTATGCTATTTTTTATTCATCTTTTATTGGAGCTGAGTGCTATAGCTTATATTTCATCTCATTTAATGATTTATACTTTTATATATAATGGTAATGGTAATGACAGGGCGTTGCTTCACTTTCTGGACTCTGATAAATTCAATAGCAAGGATGAATTTGTTCAAAACTACAAGAACCTCAGCTCATTCAATGAGATTGAGGTGCAAATTATTATACTTATACATAATTACATACATCCTTTTGCATTTAGTAAACCCTAAAAATGAGATGATATTTTATACTTAATAATTTGTATACATAGCTTGCGAATCTTCATATGGAGTTGAGGCCCCACATTCTGCGAAGAGTTATAAAGGACGTGGAGAAGTCCTTGCCCCCAAAGATTGAGCGTGTTCTCCGTGTTGAAATGTCCCCTCTACAAAAACAGTAATATTCTTTTTCCATTTCTACCCCTACTGGATTCTGAAGGGGTTCTATATCTTACTGCTTTATAATTTATTTGTCAGGTATTACAAATGGATTCTTGAACGCAACTTTCATGACCTCAACAAAGGTGTACGTGGAAATCAGGTTAGCCTAAACTAAATTTGAAAAGGAAAGAAAAATATTAAATTTCTTAGTGTTTATGTTTTATAGTTTAATGATGAATACATATTGACTTTGCATATCATCTTTTGCAAATGTTTAGGTTTCCCTTTTGAACATTGTGGCGGAGTTAAAAAAATGCTGTAATCATCCATTCCTGTTTGAAAGTGCTGACCATGGTTATGGTTATGGTGGAGACTCTGGTATTAGTGGCAGCAGTAAACTGGAGAGGGTAATTCTTAGCAGTGGAAAGCTAGTTATTCTTGACAAGCTTCTTGATAGACTTCATCAGACAAATCACAGGGTTCTAATATTTTCACAAGTATGAATGATTTTGCACAACATTATCATGAGTATTATATCAAATTATTAATATGTATATATATTTGAATGCATTGCAGATGGTTAAGATGTTGGATATTCTAGCAGAATACCTATCAATAAAAGGGTTCAAGTATCAGAGACTTGATGGAAGCACAAAGGCTGAGGCAAGACATCAAGCTATGGAGCATTTTAATGCAACTGGAAGTGATGATTTCTGCTTCCTTCTTTCTACTCGTGCTGGTGGTTTAGGTATCAACCTTGCAACAGCAGACACAGTTATCATTTTTGACTCTGACTGGAATCCTCAAAATGATCTCCAGGTTTATAAATTATAATTATCATTATGCTTGCTTCTTTTTTACTTATTTCAAACATTTTCTCTTTTTGAAAGTTTTCTGCAACTATATGTTATGTTTCTTTTTACTCATGTTTAAGTTTTTCTGTTATCTGTATATGTTTCTTGTTAATCATTTTGAAGATTTCCAAAATCTTATTAATCTTGTGTAGGCAATGAGCAGAGCTCATAGAATCGGACAACAGGAGGTTGTTAATATTTATAGGTTTGTGACAAGCAAGAGTGTTGAGGAAGACATCTTGGAACGTGCAAAAAAGAAAATGGTATGCTTCTTTAAGTAGCAATTTGCATAATCTGTTATTTAGTCTAGGAGTAAATTACACGAATCGTCCCTATGCTTTGGGGTAATATGCGTGCTTGGTCCCTAACTTACTTTTTTAACTCGGAAGGTCCCTACTGTTTGTTTTTGTTACGCGCTTGGTCCCTACTGTTTGTTTTTGTTACACATTTGGTCCCTGTCTTACCTAAAAAGACTATTATTTAAATAGGAAAAAATAGTGGGTTATGTAAGGTAAGGTGAAGGGGTGGAGTTGGGGGTGTGTTTATTTAAATAAATTAAAAAATCAAGGGCAAAATAGTCTTTTTAGGTAAGACAGGGACCAAGCGCGTAACAAAAACAAACAGTAGGGACC